TATATATCTTATTTGTAACAACCATCATATTAACCAAAATTTGATTGGCTAATTACAAGTTGTTATATAACATGTTGTTATACCTTGTTATGATCACATATTTTTAAAGTCCCAGGCATAGGAAACAACCCTGTGACTATCGCCAGGTCCGACTGTATATTCAATTTATAATAAATAAATTTGGAAAATCAGTGACAAAAGTCATACAACGGAATGATATCAGCCCAAGTTAATTTTTTATATAGTGTTAGCTATGAAAGATTTGTATTTTATCGGTAATAATTTTTTATATCAAACTTTTGCGATAATTATAAGTCTAATTTTTTTCCTGTTTCAGCGTTGCACGTAATGGGCTTCAAAACACTTGCTATTATACTCTTTTCTGGGCACCAAAAATGGGAAATCTTAGAGTAATCTAAAACATCTTTCTTTTAAAATATCTCAGCCAGAAATGATTACATATAGTAAAAAAAATTTTTTGACATCGTGATTAATGAATTTCAATGCCAAACGATTTGATTTTAAATCATTATTACAATATTATCATTTTACTATCGAAGAAATTTCTTGCAAATTTAAACACATGACATTGTAATTGTTGCCAAATACTTTTCTTATAGGAAAATTTGTCTTTTTCGACATATTGCTTGGGGGAAAAAATATTGAAATTATGTTAATTATTTTTATAGAATTCTCTCTCTTGCTATATGTTGGTAAACACTTAATATAACTACGTAAGGATCATTACTAAAATCAAAAATCATAATCAACAAAATTCCATCTTATCTGTAAATTCATAATAAATCACGACGATCTCTAATGACATAGACCTTTTTTAACGTGGCATTTGCAGCTGTAATGAAGGGCAAAGATTTTATATCAGAAAAAGAATTTCAAGAAAGAAAAACCCGTCGTGATTTGCTGGTAAAAATCGTGATACTTAAAGTTCGAGGAAGTGATACAATTTCCAATTTAAAACAGTAACCCACCCGATCAGCAAAAGCTTGTTTTTGGAGGTAAGTAATTGGAAGATGGTAAAACGTGTGCTGTCTACAGAATTCAAAAGGGTCTACATTACATATCGATTTTCACGTGAGTGATGGTAATTACTTGGATTCGGAAATTTTGGACCCAAGGCATCATCATGATTTTACGAATAGTAATGATGGAGGAAAGATATACATGCGAGGGGGAGGGTATTCAGTATAAAGACCATGTGGCTGGAGACGATTCGCTGTAAAGTCTCTGGAAAGTATGATAATGGCTTGGTATCGATAAAAATTCCTGGCCAGTATCATATCATGGTACCGCTAAGAATAACACAGTCAATTACAGAGGATTGGTATTTATTGAGCAAAGGAAAACGCTTTTTCTTTTGGGCATGGCATTTATTTAACACCTAATATAGAAATAGCAGATTTACACTATTGTTACTTTAGTCTTTTCTTTGATACAAATTCCGTATGGTCTAACGTCTGTGTCTCTTTTAGAAATTCAATACTCGTCAACTCTAGTCATCCGCTTCGGAATCCATGCAGGATTTACTCGATTTTGAATAACTCATATTTTTTTCCCTTCAAACTTAAAGACCGG